CTGCCAAGGCAGGAAGAGTTGGTCACTTTGGACAAGACAGGCATCAAAAAAGACAGCCCTTTCGCAATTCTTGACTTGGTATCAACCTTAAGAAAATACTTAATTTCAAGGAGAGAGTGGAAAAGGAGAAAAACAGGAAGCCTGCACTGCAAAGTATTCTACAAGATAAAACCAGATTGGTTCCAATGAAAACTTTAGCAGCACAAAGAGCTTTCGCATTTTGTTGCACATTGTTATAAAACAGACAAGTCAAAATATTTGGCATATGGATTAGCTGAAGGCAACATTTTTATTAAGGCAATGAAGACAATGATCCTCCTAGTGCCCTCTGACATTCAAATTTCCTGCCATACAGAATTGCCAACTTTTTTAAACTCACAAAATTTGAGAGAAAGTGCTGTGCATTTCAAAATGTGACCCCATCAAAAAGAAAAGAAAAAGCCAGCACACAACAAATACACAGCAGCTGGCAAGCAAAATGTATTAAAGATCTCAATAACCAACTGTTAGTGGCGATGTCAGAACAAGTCAACTGCATTTCACTCTCTCATCTTTTTTATATTTTACCTCTCTTCAGTTTTCTTCTGCCAGCTGATGTAAAACAAATCATTAGCATCACCGACAAAAGCACTCGGGTCACATTGCATTAAGCAGTCATCTGTCATTACAGACACAGGCAGGCACCTGCACTCACATGTCTGTGCTCTCTGATGCATGTCCCACTAGCTCTCTGATCAATAGAGCCACAGTTTTACTGATCTTCTGCTTCAGAATAATAGCAGCCAAGTATTTTTGAAGGCAAAAAGGCTACAGGCTTTGTTTCCTAGCTAGGAGGAGGACACTGAGCAAGAGTTCCTTAATAAATGTTGTTACATGCTGCCTCAGACGAGAAATTTTACTACAGGCACAGAAGAAACAAAGAAGCTTGAACATAGCTTGCATGGTTGAAAGAAAGAGTGATGAGCAAAAGTTTCCAGATTCCCTGATTTCTATTAGCATCAACCTATACCGAAGGCTCCCAGTAAGAAGTTTGTTTGGATGGGAGCTGCAGTGATCTGGTGCCTGCCCAAAGCACCTGTGACGAGGGAGGAGGGTCCCAACTTTGAAAAGAAGAAGGGGTTTAACCCAGAAGTCCCACAGACATATCTGCACATGTGATTTTATGCATTTGATAACATCCAGCAGTTTGCTTCCTGCAGCAAGAGGTAGGGGCTTTTAATTTGCTTATCATGTTGGTGGGACAGCAATCATCAACTTTCTACTCTGCTTTCTAATCCATGTAATCCACTGAAGCAACAGTGGATGGCAATTGCTGTCCTTCAGCTACTTTCTGCTTCAAAGCAGCTCTACAAATTCAGTTTTTGAATTGTGTCTAATCCTGAACTGCTTATTGCAGTGGAGTCTGGTGCAGAGACTCACTGATCTGGAAACGAATCACCTTTCTGTACACGGTCCTTCACTGTGTTTTCTCGTCTCAGTATATTCAACTGATAAAAGTTAAGTTCTGGAAAAGCTTTACTTTCTTTATACAAAAAGAGGAAAGACCGTAAGAGTGTCTCAGGTGGAGCAGCAGGTCAGCAGACAAGACTGAATTGTACAGATTTAACCCGAAAGTGTTTGCTGCAACAAAAGGTTGGGTTTGGCCCAGAGTATCTGCTGCTTTGTGGGATCTCCACACAGCTGGGCAGAGTAACATCTCTTCTTCCCAGAGCTTCATGGTGCAACAGCAGAGGGTGTTGCAGATCAGGTCTAAGGTGGCCTGAGGAGAACGATGTAGGATTTCTTATGCAGCACTTGGATACTTTTTTTTTTAATTTCTGGCTGATTCTGTTAGGTTTTTTGTAAGCATTAGCACCAATTCAGAAATAACCTGAATATAATTATGATTGGAAACCCCCCTGTCCCCCAAATACATGCATGTATGAAAAGAGGAGGAGAGAGTTAATACAGGGAAACTGTTTCCTTTCTATTCTTCCTTGTTAATAAGTGAATGGGAAAAATAAAACAAAAGTTTAATCTGCAGGGGGAATTCTGAAGGAAAGAGATGAATATTCAGACATGACAAAAGACCACTCTCACATATGAAATCCCAGAGGAAATCACTGTCCTGAAATAGCAGATCAAATCTCCCCCAGATACTGGAATATACATACAGAAGAGAAAGATTATCCAGCACTTGATTCTGGGAGATTGCTTATTTCACATCTGATGATTTCTAGGGCACCTGATGAAAACTGAGCCCCTGCATGCTGTTTGTTAGCTTCCTCCGTTGTAAAAAAGTGAAAATCTGTGGTGCACAGAACAGCTGAGGAAGTCCTACAGATTCCCACAGAAAAGTCTGCTCATTGCAATGACAGCATCCTTCTATTGATCCCCCCGCCTCCCTCTCACCTAACACCCCCATGGGAAAACCTCAGAGACCAAATTGTGCAAATCTTTAGGAAGATTTCCACATATTACAAACGTCTTTTTTTAATTTACAAAGAAAAGAGAAATAACTGATTCAAAACTGGGCACTGCTCTCATGCCAATACCATACCATGCACTCCTTATGTCTGTTATTGAGCAAAATAACTCTATGGCTGGATATAAACCACAACAAAGTAACACTCACACCTTCTAAATAGGTGCCTTAACTGCCTTATTGCAAGCGATAATCACCCACTGAAATCATGTTCAGAGGAGGAAAACCACACTTTCCCTGTAATATCCGTATCATTGCTAAATACAAAATGTTCGAAGATGCATCCTGGATGCATCCATAACTCCTGGATGCATCCATAGTTCCTGATTATGGACAGAAACTCATCATTTTTCCAAAGTGACTGATTACAGTGATAGCTGCTCTCAGTCACAAGCCAGACATCAGATGCATGCATTACAGACAAAATTCAAACTTTGATCCATGTGTTATTAATATACAACTTGGTACAAAACACACATTTCATGGGCTGTAGGCATTTCACACTGACATGAATGCAACCGACTCACCAAGCAAGAAGGGAAGATTTACCCCTCCCTGGTTCATACAATGTTGATGGCCCAGCCAAATGTAAGCAGGAAATCAGTTCTGCTGGCATGACATGCACAGCCCCACAGAAGCATCGTTTTTCGTGGTTTTGGCATAGGACACAACACTGTTTTCTAAAGAAGTTAGCAATAAGCAAGCGTTGGGAGGGATGGACTGACACAGAGAAGAGAGAAGCCTTTCAGATTGAACGTGGGGTGTAAATTAAGGGGTAGATTAAGTGCTCTCTGTTTTCATTTCTCTACTCAAGTCTCCTAAGTCTTTTTCTTCAGCATACTTCATACTTAAAGTGCTGTAAATACGTGTTTGTATTTGCCCTTTGCCTAAACTCAGTTTAAATGGAGGTTCATTTCATTTCAACTCTTAGTCAAGGTTGAGGGAAAATAAATATCCTGGTACTGGAGAGTCTCCAAAGCATCCATCTCCCCAAACCATTTCTTGAAGGTTTACTTAGGTAAATATTGCTGACACTGTTTTGAGCATATTTTGACAGTATTATTTGAGAACTGAGTATGACAGAATTAAAAGAAGAAAAAGCCTGTCCAGTGGTAAATGTGAAGCTTTCTGGCATGTGGCAAGATCACTGGAGCACCAAGTGCTTGCCCGGGAATGAAAACCACACAGTAACACTGAGAATAAAAGCAGAGTATGTACCCTACCCCACCCATCAAATCTGCTCCCTAAAAGGGAGATAAATCTCTTCATTGACTAAACAAGACATAAACACCTACCTTTCTGCTGCCATGCACATATTGCCAAAGTTTCTATAAGAATAGCTTTTAATGGAAAAAGTTACCTGGATTTTTGTAGATGCTAAGCACATCCTTGAAATAATGAGGTAAGAATCTTTCTAACAAAAGCAGCACATCCTCCAACTCCTCCAGAATGCCCACAAGCAGAAAATTTTCATTAACGTTCAGCTTTGCTCTTTCAAGGGCCCATTCACCAGGCTCCCTGTATGAAATTAATGGAGGGAGAGAGAGACAGAGGAGAAAGAAAAAGAAAAAAAAAAAAGGGAGTTTAAATATGCATTTGCTTCAGAAATTCAAGCCAAGAACACAACTGAATCAAAAAGTATTCAGAACATAAAAAAAACCCCCACCAAACCTGAGCGGGGTTTTGCACAACATCTAGAATCAGTTTGGCACGTGAAAACATGATCACATTAAAAGGCAATTAATCACTGCGTGGAAGCACTCCATTCTGAACACATCTTTCGTTGAGTTGTTTATAAACTCAAACTTGTGAACTTTTGCATTTAAACTCAGAAGCAGGGCCCACCCCACAGGAGGAACGACTTCCCTGGGTGGCATATTGATTTATGTCCTGGGAGCAGCAGTCAGCATTCGTATTGATAAGGGATATAATGCCAGTGTCCCAACCTAAAGGAAATTAGCTTTCTCCCAGTGTCCAGCTGGTATGATAAACATCTGAGTCACACAAGCTACCTGAGAGGGGCCGGAGATCACACCTCTTCCCTGACTCCCATTAGGCTATTGCAAATTCTGTGCGATAGTGAACTCCCAACATTTGTCAGAAGCTCTTCTGATGATGTGCGGAAGAGCTTATTGCTTTACACTCCCACCAGAGCAGACTTGGAGCAGGTTTTTCATTCCCTACCACCTCCTTTGCATTGGTCCACTTTCTGGAAAAGCATGGAAGAGTGTCCTAATAAATACTATGAGCCTCCTTCTTGCAGCTCCTTATGACACTAGGAGGGGCTGAAGGAAGTGCAGTGGCATGATAGGTGTCATCCTACCAGCTGGACCCTGGGAGAAAGCTAATTTCCTTTAGTTTGGGACACTGGCATTATATCCCGTATCAATACGAATCAATAAGAAGCTACAAAACAGCCCTTCAATGTACTGCTCAGAACCGCCCCAGAGACACGTTGTGAAAGTATTCAGACGTGTCACTGCTGTTAATCGGATTACTCATATACACAAGTGTGTAAACATAAGCATTTGCAAATGAGGCCAAAATACGTTAAGAAAAAAAAAAGCGCCTAATGAAAATGAAGTCATGTATCTGCTTTGTTCCTTAATCATACCTTCATTTAGGCCAAAAAACTAAAGCAGGATTTTTCAGCAAAGATACTTAGAAACTGAGACATAAGAATGAACACGTTTTCACTTGTTATTACTGCTACAAAAAAGTATGGCTTTTGGAAGAAATTTTTGAGAACATGTGCAGTTGTTCCACTATGGAGAAGCAGTAACAATAAATAAATAGAATACCTTGAAGCTGAACAAACCTAATAAAGAACATACTGTGACCAACAATACAAAAGTGTTTGAAAACAAGAAGTTATTTAAAATTATTCACATATTATTGCATAAAAGTTTACTATGTGCTATCAATAATGCAGCAATGTGAGAATGGCATAGACAGACACATTAAAAATGAACTAGCTGAATTACAGCAGTAGAAGGCTGCACTTCATATAGTTTTAAGAATGATTACTATTTCTTACATGGACACAGAAACCTGGGATTCCTCATACATAGACCTGACACGAGCATCTGAGCAGAGCTGAAACATGTATTACAAAATGAGTTACGAGCACATACGGTCACTGCCATTCTCACCTTGCCAACCCAGAAAAGGAAAATCCACGTAAATATATCCAGATTTGATGAATTATTCAAGAAAAAAGAATAGTACTACATTTGCATTACCCTCCTTACTCCAAAATATATGCATGCAGTTACCACACACAGAGCTACATTGTACTTACACTTTTCTCTTGTACTTCAAATAACTGTTGCCTCTTTATTACCAGTTTCTGACAAAATGTTGGCAATAGTCATTGCTGAACAAATTGGAATATCTTGTATATATTTACCTGCATCTTGGATGCTGTCCACAGAAATATGGTATGATGTAAAACAATCTGGGATTGGAACATTCAGGGTAGTTTTCAAGGATACATACATTAATGTCCTGGGGGGGAACAAAGGAAAAAAAGAGGTTTAATACTGCATTTTCCTTGCTCTACTAAAAACTGTTTCCTTTATCTCATACTTTGTACAGTCGTCTCAGAGTCAAAGAATTGTGCTGAGGCTATACCAAATATCTTAAAAGTCATCTACCAGTCAATTTATCTACTTTTAAATATCATTAGAAAGCTTCAGAAGGGGAAAAAAAAAAAAGTGATTTTGTCCTAGAATGCAAAAAAGACTCTTTTTTTTTTCTTGCTGCAAGTAACACAATTATTACATTGAGATTACTGCATGATTCAAAGCAGGACACATGGATCAACTTTCATATTGAGTTATATTTAAAATATTCAGGAGATTATTTTCAGACTCTTCTTTCTTCTAAATACACCCTGGAGGAAACCTGAAATAGCCAGAATAAATCAAATTGAGACAACAATTATTTTCTTTATTTTTTTTTTATTCTGCTTCATTCAATGACTGGAATGAGCAAACGTAAGCTGTAATTTGCACAGCTTACTCTTGATAAAAACATACATCACTTTTGATTACAATTCTCTACATTTCTCAGATGTTCAGAACTGAGCCTATTGTGTAAACCCTCACTGAGAAAAGGACTTACTAGAAAGTATTTATCATTTTCCGGATTTATCATTCATCTAATTAGGAGCTATTTATCATTTTGCAACGACTACGCATAGCTACTGAACCCTGAGGAACTATGTTCCATTTCTACCTTTACTCTAGTGCAGTAATAAATGTACCTGCAAGTGGGACTGAATTCCGCTATCCTTATCCAGTCTAAAAGACCCTGACTCTGCAGACAGACCCACTGACTCCAGAGAGGCGTACAGGGCAAAAAAAAAAAAAAAAAAAAGTGTAAGACAACACAAGCAAAGATGAAAGGATCTCATCTTTGCAAACCCAGTCTTCAACCTTATTTGAAGACGTGTGCTTCTAAAATGCAATAGGCTTCATACACATCAATATCAAACCAATGACTAATCACGTCCACACTTCATCAAGTAAATAAGATGTGGTAGCGAACGCTTCAGTGGGCAACATGTCCTCCACAAGCCAGAAGCGCTCGGTGGCGCAGGAGGCATAGAGAGCATGCCCGGCTCTTCCGGGGCAGTGGGGGGGGACAGGCCTCCGGCCCCAGCGTCTGCTTCCGAGACCTTCTAGTGTAGAAAAGCTCTTCCCAGAACTTCAGCCCTCCTGCCTGACTTCATTACTGTCACATTTGGGTCCATAAGCCTGTTAAAGTGCATTCCTGTCTCCTCCTGTGTCTTACATTTACGTAAATCAGGTTTGATAAGCACATCCTGAGTTGGGAGGTAAATCACGTGGTGAGGAACTATCAAAGAAAACAACAGAAAAATTGCCAACTGGGATACAAACAGCCCATCTCCCCTGCTCCCCCCAGGGCATTTACACATACTGAGAAGGGCTTGCCTTAAATATGTACCAGAAGATTTACGGTCGAGACCTGAATTTTGACATTCGAGGCTCTGAGCTGAAGCTAAGCAGCCCCCCATTCTCAATGCTATGAATCCACTAATGCTAAGACATCCACTGGCAGCACAGTAAGGTGGGACAGTCAGTGTGTCCCTCCTGTCATCCCAATAGTTGGTTTTTTTTAAACATGAATTAAAAATTGCAGTATTTAAAAGGTGTATTGTGCTCTTAACTATAGACACCACCAGAGATGTTTTCAGGGATAAGTATTTTCAGTTTTCATAAGAACCTGCAGAGACCTGCAATGAATTCATAAATTGCTTGGATTAAAAAAAAAGGAAATACTGTCCTGACAATACTTTAAATTATGTCCAAGCCACTTGATTAATGGATTAATTAGAAGGCAGAAAGACTCGTGTAAAAATCACTGGCATCACCCAACCAAGAGCTGTTCCTCCTTTCTTACTCCTATTCAAAGATGAAGGGACATTAACTCACAGCAAAGAAACTTATCGTTTCTTCGCAAGAATAATTAATACAGTGAGTCAGAAAATATTCCCTAAGACAAGTAAGTATCAATACCCAATCCAGAAGTGTAAAAGGGACCTTCTTGTCCCTCTGAAAGCAGTATTTGATTAATATGCCCAGAGAAACATCCATACGATAAAAGCAATGTAAATTCATGTGGAAAATCCTGCAGCTTTAACAAACTAACAGCTTATACTTAGTCAAAAAGGTATTTTCAGTATTTCTTTTTAGGGTAAACTGCTGTAGGATCCCTGAAACAACCAGGAGGGCGCTAATCTAAACTATCGAGTGGCCAATTCCCTTTGAATTTGATCTGCGGAAGGAATGCAAAAGGATGAGAGAGAAAAATCTTCTGCCCTCCTCGTTGACGCACTCAAGGTTTAAGATAAATGCCAGGTATGCTTCCATAGGAACCTACAATTTTTCGCCACACAATGGCACACATTTCACATTCCTGCCATCAGAAGCACCGGGATTACTCTGCGGTAAAAGCACCGCCCCCTCCCAGTCTCCATTGACCACCACCGCTGTGACCCGCATTACAGCTGCTGGAGGGTCCCGACGCATTTGCAGCACCTGCTCGCCTCTTCCTATTTTAATGTGTTCATAATTTGTGAAATAAATCACCAGCCACCATCCATCCCCTCAGAGGAGATTTTACTTGATGATAATTATGCAGCTCCACGAGATGCGAAATCAGGGCTTCTGACCAAGAGGTGGGGCAAAAGAAAGGTCAGCCTGAGGTGTGCTACTCGCTCCAAAACTTCAACGCAGCCGACGGAAGCTGCTCTTTGGCCGCTAGCAGGACTTAGAGGAATTTCTGGTTTTCCTAAGCACGAAAAGCTAAGGTGAAATTTCAGTATTCTAGGCAGTGTTACTCTGTTAGCCCAAGCAACATTAATGCTACATTTCCTCGTAAGAGCATGTTTTCCCAGCAGGACACAGATCTTTCAGGGCAGAAAGATTTTCATGCAAGACAAAAACCTGCAAGGTGACAGATGACAGCCTTGCTCATTTAAATCACTGGAGGGGCCTTGTAAAAAAAGTTATTCAAACACAGCTGAGAGAGACACAGAAAGAAAGAAACAGAACTACTTTGATCATACCCCTCCGCAATAAAGAAAGAGGAATTTTATTTTATTCCTCAGCTCTTGGCTACAACCCACACTGCTCGCATCCCGCTGGGCTTCTGTCTCCAGCAGGGCAGAGGGATGCCCGGGAACCGGCCCCGGGGCTGCAAGCCACAACAGAAATGATCTTTCTTTTTCACAGTACTGGATTTTTCTATTGTTACAATTTTGGCTGAAATGGTAAATTGGTAATGTCTACTTCCTTCTTCGGTAAAATTGCCTTTCATGTAAAAATCACAACATGCCCTAATCTATTCATCTGTCAACGAGCCAGACTACTGATCTATCAGAAATATATCAAAGGTGTCTAATTAATATATATTTTTTAAAGTTAATAACAAATGAACTGTTTTATTTGCCATAGCAAGTTCATAGTTCATACATATCATAAAGGGAAGTCAGCCCATAATTAAAAATATTTCAAGGATCCAAATTCCTTTGGGAATTTTAATGCTATCACAAAAAGAGCAAACTTTAAAGTATTTTTTATAGAACAATAAACAATTTACTTATGTTAATGTCTTTAACTCATTGCAAATACTGTACCATATACAAGAAGATGTGATCTTAGATTTGAGTTTGATTTTTTTTCCTCCTGATATAAAATCCTAAGTGTACTGGGGGAAATAACAACTTTTTTTGTCTAGTAGAAGGAACACCCGCGTTTTTTTAAAAAAAGAAATAATTCTTGGGCTTCAAAGCATTCCCTGTTTCTTGATCCTCAGTATCTCAACCAAAAGTTACAGAAACACCAGACCGTCCATGGATGTATGGCAATTCTTACTATCCTGAACAATTTAAAATGAGGAATCATAACTCAAATACATACATGCCTTGCAGATATTTTCCCATTAATCATCCATTAACCTATGTGAAGCCGTTAAACCGGCCTTTCTCTCACAATCAAAATGAAAAATATGACATGTTGTCTTGCCATGCCCTGCCCTCGTGGGACACTGCAACTCCTGTGAAGCCAGGAGCCCCTGCTTACAGCCCAGCCAGGGTGCACGCTCCTTACTTAAGCCTGAGGGTTGCGGGCGCGAAGCTGAGGTGTGCCATGAAGGCTACAGAGGAAGCAGTGACCTAAATAAATACCTTTCAAGTTTCCATAAAAGGAAATGAAATAAAATGATGTGGAAAACCGGTGAGTGAGCCCAGCCTACGGTGACCTCTCCGGCTCACAATGCGGTTCTTCATACCCCACGACAGTCAGCGGCGCAGCGTAGTCCTCACCGTCGCCAGCCAAGGAAAATTCTTCTGCTCTGCTGACAGCCCCCAAGAATCCTCTCGTGGCTTGTAAAATGTTTTTTCACATACTTGCTCGGTGTTTGTAAAGAGGTCAAACTGACCGTTACAATCTGAGGACAACATTGCATCATACGAACTAAATACAACCACGCTGAAAAAAAGAAAAACACACCCCGCCGCTTTCTCTGACCCCAGCTAGGGAGCTCCGGGTGGCCGCAGAACGATGGAGAAAATGTAAACATGACAGCTCAGAAAAGAGCTCGCGAGCATAAATATGAAATGAAAGAAGGAAAAGCACAACTTCCTCCTTTGTAAAAAGACATTGGAAGTCAAGGTATAGTTGGCATGAATGTCTTCAAATATAACTGTAACATGATTTACTAAATCTTATTTAGGAGCACAAATTATTTACGTATTTTTATGGAAAATAACCTAAAATGCAACACATTTTTAACCCTAATTAGAGATGTTTTTGCTTCATCGGGTGGTATTTAATGCTTCTGTTGAATCTCAGTCAAGTATTTGGATAACTAGAGCCACACGGCAGCAACGTGACCTGTTTCTTTCAAATTCTGGAGGCATTTAGTACTTTTTCGTGCATTATGCTAACAGGACTGGCAGCAGATTGCTGTGGGGTGGG